TTTAGGGCTCATAGGGTTTGGGGTTTGGGGTTCCAGAGTTTCGGGGTGCGGGGTTTAAGTTTAGGGTTTAGGTGTTTCAGGATGTTTGGGTTTTTGGGGGTTAAAAGTGTAAGCTTAAGGGTTTTGAGGGTGGGTTCCCAAGGGTTGAGGGTCTGGTCTGTCTTGAAGGTGTTTGGATGTTGGGCGGCTGTTTGTGTTTCGGGGGTTGCGGTTTTGAGGGGGTTCAGGCATGTGGGGTTGGCAGTTTAACCTCGCGGCCCCTTCGTCGCCGTTTATACCCGCACATGCGAACATTCCGCACAAGTACACCTTTTGTCTCGGTGTCCTTCAAGCACATCATTTTCTGGCTGTCTGGCCTGCATGGTTGGTGAGCCAAAAAACAGACAAGCAGTCTCAACAATGAGACCTATGAAAGCGCTATGCTATAGCACCCATCCACAAAAGTACATGCCACACTCCGGGTCAACGGATCTGACTTTGGAGGGCTTAGGGGGTCAAGCCCCCGGATCATCCTATATACTTTGTACCAGCGCAGATCGGCTTAAAAGAGGTCGCGCTCGAAGATCAAGCAATCCCAACAGTGCAAAATCTTCTCACACACACACACACATTATATACATGTATGTACGTATGTATGTGTATATATATATATACACATGTCATATGTGTGTATACACATATGTACGTGTGTATGTGTACGTACATATATATATATATACATAGTACCTAAGCCCTGGGCCCCTAACCCCTGAAGCCCTGGCCCCTAAGCCAGGCAAGTTCCAGGACGCCATCATCGGCAGCCCTGGGCGCACTCTTGACGGCGTGGGCCGCCGCAAGAGAGTGGGAGGAGGCAGGGGATGTTCGCCCGGTCTGGGATGCGAGGACCTGATCCCCGAGTCCAAGCCCTAAACAAGTTAAGCCCTAAACCGTAAGCCGTAAGCCTTAAAACCCCAGAATCCCTAAAACCCCAGAATCCCTAAACAGTATAAGCTTAAAGCTCTAGGCAAGGAGTCGAAGATTCGGGCTTCCGGCACGTCGTTTGCCACGAGGGTCCATGGGTTTTGGGTTTAATTAGGCTTTAGGGTTTAGCTGGTAGCGTTTGGGGTTTAGTAGACTTTGGTTGCTTTGGCTTTCGAAGCTATAGCCACTTCGGCACCAGCCAAGTGGGAGCCTGGACATAATTTGAATGAGGACCCACGTAACGAGTAATGTAGACCCCTCCCCTTACCGTTAAAGGCCTTCTGCCAGAGATGTGATTTTGAAGGCCCTTAAAGCATCAATCACAGGTCTACCTTGCGAAACCTCCAACAGGCCCATCTAAATCCCAACTTAAAAATCAATATCAATCAGGGTGCTTGTAAGGATTCCTTCAACGGCTTGGGGTTTAGGGTTTAGGGCTACGGGGGTTTTATGAACGTTCCTTTTCCGGTCCAAATGCATAGCAGTGCATAGCAGTTGTATACTCTCCAAGTACTAACCTACGGTTGTTTTATCCTCAACCCAAGTAACCAACTGGGTCCTTCGGGATTTAGACCTCGAAGGCTCGCTGTTTCAAGATGGTTCTTCGAAATGACCAGGCAAAGCCTGGTTTGGGGTTTGGGACTCAGGGTGCCTAACAACACCAAACGGTGATTGCCAGCAGCCCAGATGCCCCTAAGCACGAGACGCACCCCAAACCCCTAAACCCTTATAGAACCTGGTTCGAAATTTGGAACATTTCTACATTATACTAGCCTGTCAAGCCCCAAGCCATGCTCGCACGATCTGCTTTCTATCACCTGCCCCTGGTGCCCTCTCCAGACCATCATCTCCACATAATCCTAAGCCTTACCTAAACCCTAAACCCTAAACCCTAAACCCCTTAAACTGTGTACGAACTCACTTCCGATACAGCCAACCCGAAGTCTGTAACTAAATCCTACTCAGGAGTTCCTGGAAGGAAGTACACTGGGTTATAAACAATACATAGGGCTCATTGCAGCTATATGTATAGGTACATTTTGCTCCAATGAAGATACTTATAGCCTTCACCTCAAGTCCCCTGACCTTTGTCCGCCACCCTAACCCCAAGAACCCTCAACCCTAAACTTTAAACTCTAAACCCTAAACTTTAAACCCTAAGCCCTAAACTTTAGAAACTTTAAACCCTAAACCCTGAGGCTTTGGAACTCCTTCAATCTGTCAGTGATCTCGCTGCCGTGGGCGCCGCACTCGGGGCTTGCGGCCGTAGCCTGCGCTGGCGCCAGGCCGGATTGGCCTATTTCATGGGCCTATACCTTTTTTTTTTTTTTTTTT